TCTCAGAGGCGGATCTACAAGAGTTTCAACCAAAAAACTTCATTCACAAGAGTCGCACCCCATCCACCATTGTAAATACAATGATCTACAGTAACATTCCCCCATGAACCTTGAGGCACTGTAATGGGTTTAAAACTATGTGGCCTAGGTAGCCATGGATGATAACAAATTTTCAAAGAACGACCATCCCCACCTTCCATCAACTCCCCAAAAAAAAAAAAAAAAAAAAAAAACTCCTCCAAACAAAAGAGGCATTACGTCCTACCTCTGCATCCAAAAAAGTGGAATTGTCAAAATACATTAGTGGATATTGTTCGGTTCATGATTCAGAATTATAATCTAGAACTATTTTCATTTTACGTGTATTTTTTATAAGAAAAAAACACTATAAAAAACTATAAATCATTATTCAAAATCAGGAGGCATTACGTCCTACCTCTGCATCCAAAAAAGTGGAATTGTCAAAATAGTTTGGTTCATGATTCAGAATTATAATTTAGAACTATTCTCATTTTACGTGTATTTTTTATAAAAAAAAAACATTATAAAAAATTATAAATCATTATTCAGAATTAAAGACGAATATATAAAATAAACATCCCTTTTAACTTTTAAAACTCATGCCATAAGAGAATCTGGAGCCGTTATGATTCGCCACCCTTGTTTTGCAATAAAAGCACGATTAAAAGAAGACAAATCCCGGAAACCCATTCCTCCCTCCGATTTAGCCCGACAAAGCTTTTCCCATCTTAACTAATGTATCTTCCTCTCCTCTGAATCTCTTCCCCACCAAAATTTGGCGATAAGTGATTGGACATCCTTACAAAGTGACGTAGGCAATTTAAAGACACTCATAGCATAGTTGGAGGTGGTTTGGGCAACTGCCTTTGTAAGAACTTCGCTACCCCCAATAGAAAACAATTTTCCTTTCCACATATGAAGCTTCGAACACGATTAAATAATCTTCACTTGCCCAAATAGGAATCATAAGAGGCAACATTAGAGAGGCCTAATAGATTCATAAGCAGAGTCATGCAATCATCAATCATATTCGGACTAAAAGTGATACTAGACTTCTAGAGATTAATCGCCTGACCCGAAGCGCGTCCGTAAGTCTTCAAAATATCCTTAATAGTTTCACAATTCCGCTCATCAGCACGGCCAAAAAGGAGACTATCATCGGCGAAAATCTACAACTTTTTTTGGAGACCTGATCTTCGGGATAAGAACAATATAAGTTTCACTAAGCGCTTTGATAGATTGATGGCCATTAAGAATATTGAGATATACCCGAGTGACATCTGCTTGAAGAAACTCCCAATTATCCTGATAGAAACCCACATGGAATCCGTCCGGCCCCGGAGCTTTTCACACACCCATCTCAAAAAGAGCACGCATGACATCGGCCGCCGTATAAGGAGAATCTAATTCCGCTCGCATAGTGTCGGAAATCCTCACATCAATCCCATCTAGAGCAGCTTCCAAACTTTCATTGTCCGGGAGTGTGGAAGAAAAAATTCCACCAAAATAATTCTCCAACTCCTCAACGACATCTTCTTGTTTAGAGGACCATAATCTGAGCGTTCAGTCCTTTTGATTTCATTTTCCTGTCGTCTATTAGACACCTTTTAACCACTCCGTACGAGATCGCTGATAATATTCCTCCAAAGCAAGAACACCATCCAGTTCTTTCTCCACCTTCAACAGTCGTGCTTTGTGATCGGCCCAACTAGGGAGGTTATTTAACTTGTCAACTTCTTTCGACAAAGCAATAATTCGCCGAGGAATGTTACCAAAAGTAACGGCACTCCATGACTTAAGGTAGGCTGTACAGCTTGATAACTTTTCCAAAAGAAGCCGGCCATCTCCTTGAACATCAACTTCACACCAAGCCCGAAAAATCACATTTTTAAATTATTGATTTGTCAACCATAAAGGCTCAAAAACGAAGCGGCGGCTCTTTCGCTGGTTAACTGTCGAATCCACTAAGCCAAAGTCAAGAACCAAGTGGAGAGCTCGATGATCGGAACAAAAAAAATCTCGATGAAAAACTAGAGAATTCGAAAATTTTGATTTCCAATCAAAAAGAAGCAAGACATCGATCAAGACGTGGGCGGATCATGCCGATTATTCCAAGTCATAGCCGATCCCTGAAAACCTAGATCAATTAAACCACACGAATCCACCGCTTCACAAAAACGATCCAAATCCCTGTAAATACGGTCACTACCGCCTTGCTTCTCCGATAAGTGAAAATTTTCATTAAAATCCTCGACGACAAACCACGTGAAGAGTGTAAAGACTCCTAAGGTGTTGGAAAAGCTCCCAAGAATGATGGCGTTGAACTTTCTCTGGGATTCCGTAAAAGCCTGTAAATCGCCACTCACACCCGTCCGGCGAAGTCACCAAGGAGTCAATATGGAATCTAGAAAAACTCTTTATATCTACAACCCACTCCTTCCGCGAAAGCAAAAGCAAACCGCAACTTCGCCCTATATAATCAACTTGAAAACACCCGTCAAAACCAGCCCCATTCCTAACAGCCGCCGCCGCACGCCCGCAAAGCCTGGTTTCCTAATTAATGAAAACCAACCCTGGGAAAAAACTTTGAATCATCATGCGGAGCTTATCGAATGCACGGGGATTCCCCAAACCCCGTGCATTCCTCACAATAAGATTCATGGCTCCCGGCGGGGTTGCTGAACAACCTCCGCCGATGCTCCATTATTCGTAATATCAATTAAAACGGCCTTTTTCCGGCCAGAATTCTCCTCTTGAAAACTAGCAGTAAGTTTCCGTTTCGCCACCGATTTAACATCCGCCCCCTTTGACAGAATCTGGCCCGACATAGCAATGAAAACTTCCTCGAAAGCCTCTTCCCCACTTTAGACGAAGCATGTCGAGCTATCGGATCACACACTCCAGCGGAGAAAGAGAAATTCAAAACCGGAGTTACTTACTCTTCAAAGGCTGTCAACGATGTATTGGCTTGCATGCTACTATTCCCATTAAGATCAGGGGGAACACATGATTCATTAATCAAAGCATGTGGCATCTCAATAGGCTCTTTAATGTTCGATTCTTTTACGTGATTAACCAGGCTGAAAAATATTTTTGTAACAGGAATATCCTTACCAGTCAACTTTCCCGAAATCAAAAGATCAGATTGCATATTTTTTGGAAACAAATCACCCTGATTTGAAGCTAAATTCAAATCAAAATCCTGGAAACCTTGGGCCTCCGATTCTCCCCTAGAACCGCCCACCTTGCCACCGTCAACCATCGGCTGAGCCTGAAGCACCGGAATATTATTATCACGCCTCACGTCTATATTTCTCAATCCCATCTCCTCTATCCAATCGACTGTTCAGAGAATGATTTGTCTGGATAGGGAGTCGACGGCTCGAAGTCGGCGGCCTATAAATCTCTGGAGCTTTGAGCCAAAGACCATACAACAATTCTGCACCCGCTTCTAGAAGCTGTAGAGGACACAACCAACAATCACGAAGCAAATGACCGACTCTTCCACATCCAAAGCAAAAATCTGGAAGATGCTCATATTGCAAATCCCCCCAAACGAAAGAGCCATCATCACCCAATTTTAATTTAACCCCTCTACAAAGAGGTTTGGTCACATCCATAGACATACGATACTTTTCGAAACAACATCGCTTGGAATCCGCATCTACCTGCAAAGTAATCCCTATAATGTTACCGGCCTGTTCCGCAATATCGTAACTCCGAGCATCTAGCGATAAATTATGGATTTGAATCCAAAAAGGACTATAACAGAATTCTTATTCCTCCACAATGGCTTCCCCCTCATATTCCTTAAGGATGAATAACGAGCGATTGAAAGTCCAGGGGGCCATATCTAAGACACGTTCCCTTTAGAGAAAGACCGCTCGCTGTTTGAGTTTTTAATTCGAGTTAAGATTTAATTTTATATGAGAATTTTTTTATTGTAATAAAAAGTTAAATTTGACTATTTTTAAGAGTTTTTTAATGTAACAAAATTTAAATTCTAAACTCGAATAAAAAAAAATGCAAAAACAAAAACAAAAACAAAAACACAACTTTTTTTTGCTTTTTTGCAACCAATAACAATGCAAACCTAGATTTTCAAACCAATATTTTTATATTAATATTTCAATATCATTTTCAAAATGCAAAATAAACGGGTCAATAATATAAAAAGAGTTTATTTTTATTATTCGAGAAACTTTTTTCATGATTTTAAAAGTGAAGCTTTTTTTTTTTTCTTTTTTTTTTTTTGCTAATGAAAAAGTAAAGCTTGGTTAGTAAGCTTTTAGTTTTGCTGGACCCTAGCTGGAATTTAGCCTCGTTTACCAAATTAAATTTACATATAGATTGCTTAATTTTTACTCATAACTCATCAGCCTTCAAAAGACCAAAAGCTAATATATATGCAGTTTATATTTAAATTATGTAATTTTGGAACGTTCACATACAAACACATAAATATTTAAAGGATTTTCGCACATTTTAAGTTTTAAAATTATTTAATCTATTTATTTATAGGGCTTACGCATATGCTTAAGCTCCAGTTTGACAGTGATTAGTGAACTAAAAATAATTAAGAAAAAAGTAAAATAATAATAATAATATTTTTTGAAAGGGTAATATTGGCAATTAAATCCGTATTTAGCGGATGCGGTGGAATTTCGGTGTTCCGAATTTTGAGATAAAAACAAACAAAATATCTATTCCATTTTTTCATCATAAAGTCGTGTCACCATCTGGTTGGTTTCGAACAAGAATCGGATCCATCTTGCGCGTTGGAATATCCAACTCCTTAAATTCTCTTAATACAGTTGGGAGTCAGCCAATCGTCTCCCACCACGTCACCATTTCTTCCTCTTACAAAATTTATGAAAACAAATAAAATAAGTAATAAATAAAGGAAAAAAAATGAAAATGGTTTTTCTTTTGCATATTAATTTTCTTTGTTTGCGTTGTTCACTGACGGAGCACGTGCCCCAAATGCAAAAGTCGTCTTCTTCAATTTTCCTCTCTCTCTCTCTATGTGTGTGTAATGACCTAATTTCCAAACACGGCCTTATATTCCTTATTTCTCTCTCTCTCTTCTCCTCTCTCTCTCTCTCTCCCCTCTGTGGAGAGAGGTGTGTGATGTTGTTGTGACCTTCGTCGTTCTGATTTCATGTCGTTTCGGTTTTCTTCACCCCCCGATTTGACCCCTTTTAGACTCCCTAGAATTTCGTTTCGTTTCCTTTTCAATTTCTGAGCTCAGCTGAGAGGATTTTGCGATTTCGGTTGAGCTGAGGATTTCTAGGGTTTTGGAGGCTGCTGGGTTTGTAAATATGGAGAGATCTGATGGCAAGGATTTTAGAGACTTCGTTGAGAATTCCTCCAGTAAGCCTCACCTCGGAGATCTCTCGCGTTCTCGTTTTTTTGTTTCCCTCTTTTTGGAGAATCTTGGTTTTAGCTTAATGGAGTTCTTGTTTTTGTTGTTGGTGAAGAGTTTCGTACGGAAATTCTTATAAATAAATAATTATTGTTCTTCTTATGATTATGATTTTTTTAATTGGAGGAATTTTGATGCATCTTGAAGCATGAGATTCGGGTTATCTTTTCTCAACCAGGGATTCGCAGAATTCTAATATCAAAATGATTGTTTTCTTATCTTTGACGTCTTTTTTTTTTCTTTTTTAATTTCTTGCGTTCTCTTGCTTTTGCATACGAATTATGTTTGTTCTTAGCTGCACGAACTTGCTTATGCAGTTTGTTTGATTTTTTTTGTTTTATTATCATTATTATTATTATTATTATTATTATTATAGGAATTTACACTTTAATTTCGGGCTACTATGGTTCTGAGTTGGTATTTTGGCGAATAGCTATAGCATTATACTTTTCTTTATGTTTTTTGTATTTCTTTTTCTTTTTTTTTTTTAAAATTATTAACAATTTGTTTTAAATCACTGATCTGAAGGTTTTTAGTCCCCTTTTCCCCAGAGGTTTCTGGGGAATATTTAAATTATTGTGGATATTGTAATTTGAAAGTGAATGGTAGACGGGAATTGCCCTGCCAATAAATATAAACCGTTGGGGTGTGTATTTTTCTCTTAAATTGTGCATAATGAATATTATCTTTAGGTTCGTCGTCCAATTGTGCTTTTGTGAACTTCTTGTTGCTTTGCGTGCTTATCTCTAACCCTTTGTAGCTGCAAACACACGAGTGATCTTGTTATTTGCACCTGAAATGTCTTGTTATCCTGCAGACAATGCCCTCTTTGATGCGTCCCGATATGAATTTTTCGGTCAAAATGCTGGGGACGAAGTCGAGCTCGGGGGACTGGAAGAAGAAGAGGATGACAAGACTCTTTTTGGCTCTGTTGATACTGAGTACCATTTGTTTGAGAGAGAAGAGGTAGATAATTGATCTCCTAATCTTATAATGGATCATGAAGCAAGTATTAAAATCATGAGCATTTAGTTTGTCTTGTATCACTCCAATGTCTTCCTGTTTGGTTCAATGCTGCTTTATTTAGCCGTAGTGTATTTCACCTTGTAGTAAATATTTTCTATAGTCGACTTGTTAAAAGTTGATTAGTTGCCGCTGATAATGTATGTACACACACACACACACACACACACACACATATATATTGCTTGTGTCAAGACTTAAAATGTGTTCTATAATATGCAAGTCTTTAATTCCTTTTGTTTCTTCCCTAGTTTTTTGAGAGCCACTTTGTTATGTAGGAACCAAATATAAGTGTACAATAATCTCGGAAGGGTTTAAGAAGTGTAACTCCTTTCAACACAGAATACAGGAGAAATAAACTCTTATTCTTGATGCCATTGGTCATCACAACTTTCCTTTGATAACTGAGTTGTTGCTTTCTATTTTAGTAATATGTTATTGTGCTGAATTTCATTGTTTTTGTATAGTACTACTGTTTATATGAACTTATTGTTACTTTTTTGCTGTTTCCAGAGTGCAGGTTTTGGATCTTTGTCTGATATAGACGATCTTGCAAGTACTTTTGCAAAGGTCAGATTCCTTTACTTTGATGAGCAACAAGACGTTAATGAATCTACCTTATACTAGTACTGCATTATATTCACGAGTCAAGTCCTATTACATCAAGATGTGTTGTTGCCATTTCTTAAATTAAATTGTTCTATTTTTTTTTCCTTTACAACGCTGTAATCTTAAACAGTCATCTTTTTGTATTAATGAAGTATTGTTTCTTTTCAACAGAGAAAATATATATTATGGTTTAAAATGTCTGCAAATTGTGACTTTGTTGCCCTTAATGCAGTTGAACAAAGTTGTAACGGGACCAAGACACCCAGGTGTTATTGGTGATAGAGGTTCTGGATCCTTTTCACGTGAAAGTGAGTGGTTTACTTGAACTTGTCATCCTATGATCAGTGGCATTTGATAACTACATTAGTCGCAGAAAGCGTTCTTTTATTGAATTGTGAGAACTTTAATCTGTTAATTAGTTTTTCTCATCAAATATGAAATAGTATTTTGCAGGTTGTGATTAATTGTGTTTCTCGTGTCTTAAAATTAAAATTTACTATTGTAAACTAAACTGATGCTTCAGGTTGTGATTAATTGTATTTCTCGTGTCTTAAAATTAAAGTTTACTATTGTAAACTAAACTGATGCTTTAAGTAATGTTAATGTGAAACTAGCAGGTATTGAAGTATTTATCTAAATTACAAACTATTTTTCTGCAGCAAAAGGAAGAATTGCTGATTGAATTTAAAGTGAAATCAACTGAAAAGAAGTAAAATTTGAGTAAAAAGGGGCATATAATGTGTTGCAATATAAACTATTGTTGGCGACTTGCTAACATTTTAAGCTTTGAGGAAAACACTGATTGTGCTTGTATTAGTGGTATCTTATTCCATTGAGATGAAAACTATCGGTTAAAATTTTTTTTTTTTTTTGATTTGTTGTTTACATTACCAATCTTTCTACAGGTTATAAACTGCATATAGTGCTTCTGTTCTAGTTCACCCAGTCATTTTCTTTTATCACACATTATTATAATTAAACGCTCTAGCACTTTGGTCGTGGTTCCTTGCTGTAGGATGAAATAATTAATTGTTAAACAATGTCGTGTGCATTTTGTTTTGATTCCTTTATGCCTCATTTAATTGTGAGTTCACTTCAGGTTCGTCTGCTGCTGATTGGGTGCAAGATGCTGATTTCTCCAACTGGTTGGATCAGCATATGTTTGATACAGATATTACTCAGGAAGGGAAGAGATGGTCGTCACAGCCACAAGCTTCTTCGGGTCATTTTGGAGATTCAAAATCTTCTTTGTACAGAACATCCTCATACCCACAGGAACCTGTGCAGCAGCACTTCTCCACTGAACCAATTATAGTGCCCAAATCAGCCTTCACATCTTTCCCTCCACCTGGAAGCAGGTCCCAGCAGGCTTCGCCACACCACGCGAATCAATCTTCTATTTCTGGTGGATCCCAGTTGCCCTTCTCTGCACCAAACCTCTCTCATTTATCTAACGCTAATCTTCATTTGGCTGGGTTGCCTCATGGCGTGCATTATGGAGGGAACATGTCTCAGTTCACCAATCCTGGCCCGTCTTTTAATAGCAGGCCTCAAAATCATTGGGTCAGCCATGCTGGAATATTGCATGGGGATCACCCTAGTCTTTTAAATAATATATTGCAACAACAGCTGTCACATCAAAATGGGCTTTTGTCCCAACAACTGCTGTCGCAACAGAAGAGACTGCATCCTTCAGTTCAACCTTCCTTGGCACATTTTGCAGCACTGCAGTCCCAGCTTTATAATACTCATCCATCTTCCTCTCACAGAGCAATGCTTGGATTGTCTGACATAAGAGAGCAAAGACCAAAACACAGAGGCAAGCAAAATCGTTTTTCTCAAGCGGGCTTTGATACTAGTAGTCAAAAAAGTGATAGTGGCAGGTTGCAGTTCAGATCAAAGCACATGACATCCGAAGAGATAGAGAGTATTCTTAAGATGCAGCATGCTGCGACACATAGCAATGATCCATATATAGATGATTACTATCACCAGGCAAGTCTAGCCAAAAAAGCCTCTGGATCGAGGTTAAAACACCCTTTCTGCCCATCTCACTTGAGGGAGCTTCCATCTCGTGGACGCAATAGTACAGATCAGCATTCTCATCTTTCAGTTGATGCTCTTGGGAGATTGCCCCTCTCTTCTATACGTAGGCCTCGTCCCCTTCTTGAAGTTGATCCTCCATCCACTGGTTCTGGTGATGGCAGTTCTGAGCAGGTTTCTGAGAGACCTTTGGAACAAGAACCAATGCTTGCTGCTAGAATAACCATCGAAGATGGCCTCTCTCTTCTTCTTGATATCGATGATATTGATCGGCTCCTACAATATGGTCAGTCCCAAGATGGAGGCATACAGCTTAGGCGAAGGCGGCAAATGCTGCTTGAAGGGTTGGCAGCATCAATTCAGCTCGTTGATCCACTTGGGAAAAATAGCCATGCAATTGGGCTGGGACCGAAGGATGATCTTGTGTTCCTCCGTTTAGTCTCTCTTCCAAAGGGCCGGAAGCTCCTTTCTAAGTTCCTTCAACTTCTTTTCCCTGGTAGTGAGCTTGTCCGAATTGTTTGTATGGCTATATTCCGTCATTTAAGGTTTTTGTTTGGTGGCCTTCCATCTGATCAAGGAGCAGTTGAGGCAACTGCTAATCTTGCAAAGACGGTGTCTGCATGCGTGAATGGAATGGATCTTCGGGCACTAAGTGCTTGTCTTGTTGCGGTTGTCTGTTCTACAGAGCAGCCGCCACTTCGCCCCCTTGGAAGCCCTGCTGGGGATGGAGCAACGGTCATCCTGAAGTCTGTTCTGGAAAGGGCAACTGAACTTTTGACTGATCCACATGCTGCTGGAAACTGTAGCATGCCTAATCGCGCTCTCTGGCAGGCTTCCTTTGATGAATTTTTCGGCCTTCTTACTAAGTATTGCCTGAGTAAATACGAAACTATAGTGCAATCAATATATGCACAGACCCAACCTAGCACAGAGGTAATTGGTCCAGAGGCAGCAAAAGCAATACACCGAGAAATGCCTGTGGAACTTCTAAGAGCCAGTCTTCCTCACACAGATGAGCATCAGCGAAAGCTTTTATCGGATTTCGCACAGCGATCAATGCCCATTTCTGGAATCAACACCCGTGGGAGTAGCGGTGGCCAATTGAACTCCGAATCAGTGAGGGGTTAACAGGACAGAAAACCGCGTGTAATTTTAAACATGTCAACATACTGTCAAGGGCAGCATGTCTCTGAACATCTTCAATTGCTTTCACAATATGAATCTGCTAAGAGTGGAATGTGGTAGCATTGTGGGCGCCAGGGGCAACAGCATGCCTTACGTCGTGGCCATTTCAAGGCTTCGACCTTTTATCTGTTTAAGCTCTTTTCTTTTTCTTGTTTATTACCTTGCTTAAGAAAAAAGAAACTGTAATTCTCGTTTTAATGAATTTATAGGGATATGCATAAATGTGTATTATGATGAAATACTTGATGATGGGGAGTTTGAGACTAGAAGTTGGGTTCTTCCGGGGAGCTTTATTTTGGTGCTCTGTGTTGAACTCCAGCCAAAACTGGAAGCATAGGGGTAGTGTATGTACAGGGTAGTTTTTACAGAACCTTAGAAAACTCCGGTCATCTTCGACGTTGATTATTTGTCTGGGGAGATGTTGCAGTGATGCACCTGTTAGAATAGCTAACCTTTTCTCTCTTTTTTTTTTTTTTTTTTTTTCTCTCTCTTACCTTTTGGTTTTCCCCCTTTTTAATGAGATGGTCAGGTTTTATCATTTTATGTGCCTTCATCATTTTTTGTATTGGGCTGCAGGGGGTGTAACCTTCCTTATTATTATTTTTTTCTTTTTTTTTCTTTTTTTGGGGAGTAATGTTTCTGACAAACTCTGAATGAGAAAGTTGCAACGTTCAAAGGAGGAAAACTGTTTCCATATTGATTTTGTTGGATCATTTATTCTTCTGACCAAGGTGATAATATTACATAAGCGCAACATATATATTTGAATCAATGTACTCTTTATCTGCTCTGCTCCTAATGCTATGCTCACTATCTTTTGCTTTGTTTACATGTCACTTCTTTTCCTTTATTTGTTGCCCCTTTCATGGGATTTCCATTTCTGGGGGATGTTCTGCGGTTTCTCAGATTCTTTTCTATATTTTTTCTTGTGTGGTGTCCCGTATTGATATTTAGCATTAGTAAAGAAATGATATGAAATGATAAAAGGTAGTGCTAAAAAAATAATAGAAAAAAAGAATGTGGATAGTTTATTTTCTTTTTAAGTTGTGCTTATCTATTGCCTATTGGGAAGTGGAATGGAAAATGGTCTAATTTTTTTTCTAGTGTTTACTAAATGTAGGAGTATCAATCTTATCAATTTAAGAGAGAGTGAAATAGCATATTTTAAAATTTTCTAGTGCTTACTAATTATTGAAATGTCATTGTGCATGATAAAATTATCATTGGCTTCATAAAGATATATTAGTGAAGCTGGTGCTCATTCCAATTAACCTATAAGCAATATGACAAATACTGAGGGAAAGTTCGGATTCGCATTCTCTTTTTTCATTTTTATATTTTATAGAATCAAATTATTATTCATACTTTTGTAAGCAATCACATAAATAAGTGAAAATTAAAACACTTCTCTTACATTCTTATTCATGTGAAACGAACATGTGCTAAATGTTTCCATATTGTCTTTGATACCTCATTTCATTGAAGGTAGCTTGTCATTTATTAGGATAGTGCTATTTTTGGAGTCATCAATCTTATATTGAATGGATCAAATCGTTCGTTTGAGTTAGTCGAGATCTAATATTATAATAGAATTTAGACTTTTAAAGGGCGTGTTCTTTTGAGTGAAAAACTCAAAAAAATACAACTCGAGTTACAACTTTATTCGAGTTCATGTTCTTTTAAGTTTAAACTCGAGTTTAAACTCGAGTTCAAACTCGAGTTTATGACTAAAACTTGAGTTCAAGTTTTCCCTTCAACTCGAGTTTAGAAACTCGAACTCAAATTAATAAACAGTATTTTTTCTATTCTTAAAAATACTATAACTTTTTCGTTTTAATTCTGATTGAGATGATTTTTTTCTATGCGTTGACAACGAAAAGACGAATAAAACCCGACCCATATACCTTATTAAAATTTTTCATTAGCATTGAGTTTTTATTAAAATATTATCTAAATACAAATTCAAGTTTTGACTCACTCAAACACAAACTCAAAAAGATTCTTATCTCAAACCATAACTCAAATGTACAAAACCAAACACAAACTCAAGTTATAAGTTCAACTCAAGTTATAACTCAAATTCAACTCAAAAATTATACTCAAGTTAAACTTCAAAAGAACAAGCCCTCAAATTTTCACCTTAAAAGCTCAACTTGCTAAGTTGAGTGACCCAATGTCTTTATAAGGTGGTGTTTATTTTTGTGTTTAAATAATATGGGGCTCATATTTGTTTTTATCCTTTACATGTCTTTGCAAAATGATGCTCTTAGAGCTCACTAATCTTATATTGTATGGATTAGCCGTTTATTTAAGTTGGTTTGACTTTGATATCACGTGGAATTTAGATTTTTAAAGACATGAACTTCCATCTTAAAAGGTCTAATTTAAGAAGAAAATTGTATCTTGTTTTATTAATTTTTACTATTGCCTCTCCTTTAAAATCGAAAAGGATATAGGAGAAGATTACCACACTAATCTATTATATATATTTTTTTTACTCTTGAGAAAAATAAGTTTTGGCTGTTTTTTTTTTAAGGAAAATAAAATAGACAAATAAACCTCCTCTGAAAAGTGAAAAGCCTAACTAAAAGAAAACTAATAAAGTTTGAGGAAGAGAGCGATGATGTTAGGTTGTGCCGTCCCTATCTTGAAGACTAAGGAGACGCATACACACTGCACGCATATAAATATATATACACATATATATATGCTTTGACTTAACAACTTATGCATCGTTCATTTCACAGATTTGAGTTTTTAATTCGAGTTGAGATGTGACATTTTTTGAGAGCTTTTCACTGTAGCAGAAAAAGTTTGATATGACATTTTCTAAGAACTTTTTACTGTAGAAACTTAGAACTGAAAACTCGAATCGGTGAAATGAACGAGACCTTAATACCTGTTATAAATTAAGGATAGTATATATATGCTATTATATAAGTAAGGTAAATAAATAGTAAAATATAGAAACCAATATAGAGAGAAATATTATTTTATTGAATTTTAACTCTCCATTTCTTTTCTTTCTTACACACTTTTTTCTTCACTTAATATTTCTTCCTTCTTATACTCTTACAATTATTTCTCGTTAATTTTTGAGAAAACAAGGGAAACACCCCTCAAATAGGCATCCCAATCTATTTCTAACCCTCAAAGATTAGCACATTAATTTCTACCATTTTACAATTAAAATAATGAAAATAGTTAAATTAAACATTTTTAAAATTTCAAAGTTACCCTCAATGGTCCATTGATAAATTATAAGATATGCCGGCAGTCTCCCATCGTTGGTCGGCCCCTGAAGACCCCGGAGGCTTGGGTTTCCAGCCGGTCGGCCATAACCTGATAGATTACACGGGCCACCGACGGGTCTCTGACCGGCCGCCGGTCATAACCTGACTGACAGGTTATGATCCATAACCTAACAGATTACACCGGCCGGCCACCGGCCATAACTTAACTAATTACATTGGCCACCTGCGAGTCTCTGACCATAACCTGAGAGATTACACAGGCCACCGGCGGATCTCCGACCATAACCTGATAGATTACACCGGCTGTTGACCTCCGGTCATCGGCGTCAGTCATAGTATGATCCATAATTTGTGGGTATTTTAGTCTTTTTAATTTGTGATGAAAATATCTAATATAAATAAAAATGGTAAGAGTTTTTTAAAAAGATAGAATTAGGAGGTTTGGTGATTATGGGGTAAAACGTGTAATTCTATCTCATTTTTTCTTGCCTTCTGCTAGAACAAGGTGTAAAAGCCATCCATCCATCCTTTTTTTTTTGAGTATATAAGCCATCCATCCTTACTTCATGATAAGTTGCTTGTCATGTTTTTCATCAATGAAAGTTGTTTTGTGGAGAAAAAATGTGATCATTCACAACAATACCCACCTTCCTCTTCTATATAAATGCCGTCTTTATCCATATATACGTCTTACGTTATGAATCACGTTATTATCGCCGTAAAAGCATCTCATGCCAAAAAAAAAAAAAAAAAATTGTAATGCTTTATGTACACTTCCCTCCGTTTGTTTCTAAAATACATACATATACATTAATACATACATAAAAAGAAAAAAAAACAATTAATTTTGGTTTTTTATGTTTTTATTTTTTATTTAAACCAAATATTAGCCATTTTTCCCCTTTTGACGTTGTAAGTATTAGAGATCAAGCCTTTGTGTAAGACAACATCAACTGATTCCTCAACAAATACGAAATTCAAACCTCAAACTCAAAGCATATCATCAGAATCCACTTAAAATCAATTATGTTAAGAGCATCTCTTTGTATTTTGAATTCGCACTCTTGTAACTAATTGAGATATTCTGATCATATACATAAGATCTTCATCATATATATATATTACTGATTAAAATCTTATTTATATAAATAATAGAAAATGGCCTTGAGAAGTTTAGTCGAGGATTCATTTATTCACAATCATCATTATTTCCTCTCTTCTTTGAGTAAGTTGCCAACAAACTTTGTGGGCACGCTCTAAAAAATAAAAAAGATAAAAAGATAAAAGAAGGGAAAAAAACACAAAAAAGAAAAAGAAAAAAAGAAAAGAAATGTTGGCCAAGCATGGACGTATATACAATAGGCATGTATGATGCACTTATTTGTGTCTCAATTTTTAAAACGCAATTACCACAAGACCAAGACCAGGTCCAAGTCTTTTCTGAGTTTGATGGTAGTGATTTAATTTCTCTCCTTTTTAACTACTTTTCGGATGGTTATTTCATTTTGCATTTTGCTCCACTTGTCTCTCCTTCCGATATTTCGAAACTCAGGATCATATTCTCAAAGCAATCACTTTAATTTCTCCTCTTAATTTCTTGACACAATTATTCAGTATTCTTCATTATATGGTTTCTGGATTTCAGGTACTTTTCTTCTCGCGAATCATCCTCTTTCTGGGTCATTCAAATCCTTCAAAATCTTGTATTTTCTATATATGATTTTTATATGTATTTATTTTTGGCCAGAGTCATTGTTCTAGTATTCATTCAATCTATCTTGTGTAGAAAATCCTGTCCTTATTGTATGTTTCAAAGTTTTTTTTTTTTTTTTTTTTTTTTTTTTTTTTTTTTTTTTTTTTTTTCTCATAATTGTCCTTTTTGACTTTTGTGATTTGACCTTTATAATGAATATCAAATATCAGCAATATATCTCAACAGGATTATTACCAGAAACTTTAACCTTAAACTACTGATCATATCTGGGTTCTGTCTAATTTTCTGTATGTCAAACAAACCCCTTGATTTTATTACGAATGGTTGAAGATATTGGCATAGCCTTTCCATTGATAATCATTGATAATAATTATATGTATAATTATTGATATATATATACATATATATTACAAAGTAATTCAAATTCTAACAAGTTGCCTAATCTTCTTCTAAATATACGAAATAGACTAAATTAAAACTTTATCACAAAATAACTAATTACGAATTACAAATTCAAATATAAAACTAAATTACTCTAATAGATTTATGATGGTTAAGAATGCTGTGATTACTTAATAAATCAGGGTTTATATGTACCTTAAAGAACTACGCGTTAAATACAATTGAACCATTATAAAATCAAATCTTTGCATGTTTTTTGTTGTCTAATATACTTATTATATATATATATATTTGTGATTGCAGGCATGGATTTTGCAGAGACAAAAAGGACTAGCAATGTTTCTGCCAGGATTTTTGTGGCTGTTTTCCTCGTTACTTTTTGCATTTTTTCACTCAGGAAGTCACCTATTTTTAGCAGCCCGAACTTGGTATATTTCTGATTTATGTGCCTGCCATGCACTCGCTGCTTTAACTATTGTTCCTTTCCTTTTGTTCTTAATTTGATTCAAGTGTATTAGATTAATGGAAACGTGTTTATTAAGAAACAAAAGTGTGAGAACCAATCTCAAAAATTGCACTTACGATTAGATTATGTGTGATTAGGAAAGACTAATCAAACTTTATCCCGTTTGGAACTGCAATTCATGATCTAAAATCTTCGTCAAGTCTACAGACAAATTGTGGTGACACATAATTTAGAAAAATTCTGTAACATGGTATCCAAATGAAAAAAAGACGTATCAGTTGAACATGTTTTTGAACTGTCGAAATTCAGTTACATTTCATCAAATTTTTTGATAGCACCCTCGCACTCTCCTTTTATTTCATTTTGTTTTTCTTATTAAGTTTATAGATTATTAGAAGAATTCCACAACAGGGTATCGGAAAAAAATACCGTACCGGTAGTACGTGTTTCTGAAGCGTTCAAATTTTATTAGATTTATTGAAATTTACCCTTTTTGATTGCACCTCTCTCTCTATTTATATTGTTTCTTGTATGTGAAGTTCTCCATTCAGAAACCAGGGGTGGCACATGTCTTGGTGACTGGAGGTGCTGGCTATATAGGATCTCATGCTGCACTTAGACTCTTGAATGATTCATACCGTGTTACCATTGTGGTATATAATATATTCCATCTCCTACATACACAATCTCAAACCATTTTTTTCCTAAAAACATAAAAAAAAAATAAAAAAAGAGTACTTGTTTACATTAATATCTAAATTTAGTACTCACCTTTGACAGGACAATCTTTCTCGAGGAAATCTAGGCGCTGTTAAAGTTCTTCAAGACTTGTTTCCTGAACCAGGAAGGCTTCAGTTTATTTATGCTGACCTTGGAGATGCAAAAGCTGTATCCTAAATTTTTGTATTTTATTTGAATGGACATGATTTTAGTCCATTATTCTCATTTTCCCTTGATAGTGAAATATATAAACACTTATTATCATATTGTTATTTTATTGTTGTCCTTGATTGAAGTTTTAGATCAATAAAATTTTTAGGGAAAATGCATTTGATGTAGTAATGCATTTTGCAGCCGTTGCTTATGTTGGAGAAAGCACAGTTGAGCCTCTCAGGTATTCTTTCCTTTTCTTTCAACTTAAAATTTCGTGTTTTGCAGTTGTAATTCTCATTCTTTTATTTCCATTTGATTGCTTGCCATAATCAATATGTTTTCATCTAGACGCCAAAAGGACGGAAGCTACAATAGCGGAAAAAAATTTAATCTGTAGAGATGTGTAATTCAAGGACAAATATACATTTTCCTCTTCAATTGCAGATATTATCACAACATCACATCAAATACCCTTTTAGTTCTAGAGGCAATGGCAGCTCACAGAGTAAAGACATTGATCTATTCCAGTACTTGTGCAACATATGGAGAACCAAAAAAGATGCCCATCACCGAAGAAACTGAGCAAGTGAGATAGACACTTATATTCTCGAATCTATTTTCCTACCTTGAAACTCTTTGGCATTGCTTTTCTAGAAAGTATAGGTTGAACCTAATTCCAAGAGAAGAAAAAAAAAAAAAAAATTTTATAGCCCACTTTGCGAGTTTTAGGCGAACATCCATGGAAACAAAGTGTGTTCAAAACTATGACTTTCTTCGAATAACTTTCATCATACATTGTTCATGTACCTTTACAGGTGCCAATTAATCCATATGGCAAAGCCAAAAAGATGGCTGAAGATATCATACTAGACTTTTCGAAAAAATCAGACATGGCTATCATGATCTTAAGGTTGGTGGTGTTTAATTTTCCTCTTTTCTGTTGTTTCACTATTTGTTATATTCTGCTTCAACTTGAAGAGATTCCCTTTACCACCCTCAGTCTAGATAACATGCTATAAAATCTCATTTTAAAGAGAATTTCCTTTTGGCTGAATCTTTGGATGAGTGCAACTACCGACCAACTTACAAGTGGATAAACTATGAATGCAGATATTTTAACGTGATTGGATCGGACCCAGAGGGAAGACTAGGAGAATCTCCCCATCCTGAACTACGCGAGCAAGGTCGGATATCTGGTGCCTGCTTCGATGCAGCTAGAGGAATTATTCCTGGACTCAAGGTACTTTTGTTTCTTAGGTTCATTTTTTCCCTTTCCCAGTTTCAGGTAGTTCAAGTCCTGTTTGAAAAATGATATTTTCACGGTGCTAAGTGAATAGTGAATATATTGGTTCTAGGTGAAAGGAACAGACTATAAAACAGCTGATGGCACTTGTGTGAGGGACTACATAGATGTCACTGACCTGGTTGATGCTCATGTGAAAGCTCTTGCCAATGCAAAATCTGGGAAGGTTGGAATCTATAATGTTGGCACTGGAAAAGGTATTGTTTGATCACCCCGCCCTTTTTTTTTGGGGTATCTTGTAGCCCGCATATTTCTCTATTTCCTGCATGGTTCTCCAGCAGATTGTTGATATTCTTTTGATTACAGGTAGATCAGTAAAAGAGTTTGTGGAGGCATGCAAGAAGGCAACAGGGAAGGACATAAAGGTCGAATACCTTGACCGCAGGCCCGGGGATTATGCTGAAGTTTATAGCGACCCGTCCAAGATAATGTGGGAGTTAGGTTGGACAGCGAGGTACACGGACCTTCAGGAGAGCTTAGCGATTGCATGGAGATGGCAAAAGTCACATCTAAATGGTTATGGCCCACCTGCTGCTATAGGTCAATAGTGACCACAAATTGTTCTCAAGGAAAGTAGGAAACCTCAAACAATCGTAGAGTTAGACATGCATTGGGTTTTTATTTGTGAGGCAGGTTGTTCCCAATAAGCCATTGGGGTTTTGGGAAAGGTTTCTTAGCGCACACAGCTGGAAGTCCTTCCCCTTTAGTTCATAAGGTGCTTTGGAAGATGAGTTTTGATACTTTGCCCATTCCCCGCACAACAAAAGAGAATGAAAAAAGAAATTAAAGGAGAAAACAAAAGAAAGAAATAAGAGAGAGAACATTAAATTATATAATTACAGAAACAATTTATACTTCCACTGTATATGAAGATCAAAGCGGTTATGTAAATATTTTATCTACGCTTCCACTTTCTCAGCTGGGCCTGAATCATTGCATACATTGCCTTTTTTTTTTCTTTTTTTTTTGATACCCAGAAATCCATTGCATACATTCACTTTTCCCCATTACAATTCAGAAGTTAATTTAAAGGGTTCATAACTGTTGGAAAGTTAGGAAATAATATCCCATAGAATCAGGAAATTAGAATTTGAATATTTTCTGTTTTAGATATTTCCGGATTTGGTTCTGTTTCCTTTTTCTTGCTCCTTAATTCTAGGAACCGGAGATATTGTTCTCTTCTATCTAAACTAATGTAACCTATGTTATGAATAATAAGAAAGAGAGAGATTTCTGCTCTCTAGATTTTCCTCCTTAATCTGCCCTCTTTTCCTACATGGTATCAGAGCCTTAGGCTCCGATCTAGGGTTTTTCTATGGCAGGCCAAAATTCGTGGAAGACAGCACTAACCGGTGCAGCCAGCAAGGACTCAGCGGCGCCAAGGGAAAGTGCTGCTCCGGAAAGAACTGCGAGTTCGAATATAAACTCCTCCATCTCATTCAATGGCACGGAGGGGTCCACAAATTCACTCCAACTGAGTATTCACCGTCTAAATGGAAAAAACTACACGGAATGGTCGCAAACCGTTCGGTTGATCTTGGATGGCAAAGGGAAACTTGGATATCTGACAGGAGAAGTGACAAAACCTGTAGATGGAGATTCGGCCTTCAAAAACTGGAAATCAGAGAATTCCTTGATTATTGCGTGGTTGGTAAATTCAATGGAACCCGCAATTGGAAAGCCCTTCATATTTCTGCCGACAGCCAAAGATGTTTGGGAAGCAGTCAGGGACACGTATTTTGATTTGGAGAATTCCTCGCAGATTTTTGGTTTAAAGTCCAAACTATGGCGTGCAAGACAGGGTGACCGAAATGTGACTTCATACTACAACGAATTGATGACCTTGTGGCAGGAGTTAGATCTCTGTTATGATGATGTCTGGGAGTGCACGAATGACAGTGTTCGCTTCATGAAACGACAAGAAAATGATCGTGTCTTTATGTTCTTGGCAGGGCTAAACAAGGAGTTAGATGAGGTGCGTGGCAGAATTTTAGGAAAGATGCCTCTGCCAACAATTCGTGAGGCCTTCTCAGATATTCGGAGAGAAGAAGCACGGCAGAATGTGATGCTTAGCAGCAAATCCAGCCCTTTTACCAATAACCCAGAAGTAGAGAGCTCTGCCCTCGTAACTCGAGGTTTCCAAGAGGAAGTGAAGAAGGATGGTAGGAATTTTGAACGACCATGGTGCGACCACTGCAAATGCTCATGGCACACGCGGGAAACCTGTTGGAAACTTCATGGCAAGCCTCAAAACTGGAAGAAGAAGCCTGGCAGAGATGGACGTGCACTTCAGGCTCGTGTCTTGGATCAAGAGCAGCAGTCTTCTTCAAGCTCATTTCCTTTCACCAAGGAATAGATAGACCAACTGTACAAACTTCTCGAGCCTCATAAAACTCCTTCTTGCTCTTTGGCTCAAAAAGGTAATTACCGTAAAGCAGCCCTCATTAGTATTAACCCTGATCGTACCTGGATCATTGATTCAGGTGCAACTGATCATATGATAGGGGCGTCAAACCTTTTTATATAGTCCTTGTGCAGGTAATCAAAAAATTAAAATCGCAGATGGTTCTCTTTCAGCCATCGCAGGAAAAGGTTCTATTGTAGTGTCTCCGTCACTCACTCTCCACGATGTCCTTCACGTTCCTAAACTTTCTCGTAACCTTTTATCTATCAGTAAACTAGCTCGTGATCAAAACTGTCAAACTAATTTTTTCCCAACTCATTGTGTGTTTCAGGATTTGATCTCGGGGAGGATGATTGGCAGTGCTAAACAGAGTGGAGGACTATTCCTTGATGATGGATTTGAATCGAGACAACAATCTCAACAAATAAGTTCTTGCTTTGAATCTATTTCCGTTTCTACTAATAATATCATGTTATGGCATTTAAGATTGGGCCACCCAAGTTTCAAATATTTAAAACATTTGTTTCCTAAGTTGTTTGGCAATAAAGATCCTTCTTTGTTTCATTGTGAGATATGTGAATTTGCAAAACATCACCGTACATCCTTTTCTTCACAACCATACAAACCATCAAAACCTTTCACTATTATTCACAGTGATGTTTGGGGTCCTAATAAGATAAGTACACCCTCTAAAAAGAGATGGTTCATCACATTTACTGATGATCATACTTGACTTTGCTGGGTATATTTATTAAAAGAAAAATCAGAGGCCGAACAAGTTTTTTAAAATTTTTACAATATGGTGCAGACTCAATTTCATACTAATATACAAGTTTTTAGAAGTGATAATGGAAAGGAGTATTTTAACTTTATCTTGGGAAATTTTTTCCTTGAAAAAGGAATAATTCATCATAGTTCTTGCACAGATACACCTCAACAGAATGGTATTGCTGAAAGGAAAAATAAACATCTGTTGGAGGTGGCTCGTGCATTACTTTTTTCAACTAAAGTTCCTAAGTATCTGTGGGGAGAGGCAGTTCTAATCGCTGCTTACTTAATAAACAGAATGCCCTCCAAAGTTTTAAAATTTCAAACTCCTTTCCAAGTGTTTAAAACATGTTTTCCAATTACCAGACTTTCGGCTGATCTACCTCTAAAAATATTTGGTTGTACATCGTTTGTTCATGAACGTAGGAAAATTGGAAAACTTGAACCCAGAGCTATAAAATATGTCTTCATTGGTTACTCCCCAACTTAGAAAGGTTATAAGTGTTTTGACCCGGTAACAAAAAATTTTTTTGTCACCATGGATGTGACGTTTTTTGAAAAACAACCATTCTTTAAAGAATTCATCTTCAGGGGGAGAATTTTAAAGAAGATTCATTTGTTAGCTCTGGTGAGTTTTTTCTCTCAGATGATGTGTTTCTTTCTGAGCCAAGTACCTCTGCACCTACAATAAATGGCCAAGACCCGTTGTTTGAAACTCCTCTTATTGTGAGTGATGTTTCACTTAGACCTAGGCCTACATTTGTAAATCAATCTGAAAATCAGAATTCTAAAAAACAATCTTTGGAAACCAAAGAAAAGGAACAGCCTACTGAAATGCCACAATATGATAATTCTGCTAAAGCAACAAGGAATAGATTCAAGGAAGGTCACCGAACTTGGAAAAGGATTGTTTACTCGAAGAAGAATCATAAAAAAGGGAAAGACGAATTGACTCAACAGCACAACCATGATTCCGAACCTAAGGCAAATAAAAAATATGAGTCAGTTCCAGGTAATTCTCCTTCTCTTCCTAACAGTCAGTCTGAGTCTTCCGATTATGAAATTCCTATAGCTCTACGTAACGGGATTAGATCCTGTACTAGTCATCCGCTGTCTAAATTTGTGTCATACTCAAAACTGTCTCCATCTCTGGTTGCGTTTACCACTCAATTATCCAGTGTAGAAATCCCTAACAATGTACAGGAGGCTCCACTCAATTATCCAGTGTAGAAATCCCTAACAATGTACAGGAGGCTCTAAAAGTTCCAAAGTGGAAGGAAGCAGTGTTTGAAGATATGAGAGCTCTTGAGAAGAACAGTACTTGGAGCATTGAGGCGTTGCCAAAGGGAAAGACTACCGTGGGCTGTAAATGGGTTTTCACGGTGAAGTATAACTCAGACGGTTCAGTGGAAAGATACAAGGCTAGATTGGTGGCAAAGGGATTCACCCAAACATATGGCATCGATTACTCTGAGACTTGTGCTCCTGTTGCAAAATTGAACACGGTAAGAGTGCTTTTATCTATTGCTGCTAATTTAGATTGGCCCTTGCAACAACTAGATGTGAAGAATGCCTTCCTCAATGGTGATTTGGAAGAGGAGGTGTACATGGATAGTTTACCCGGCTTTGAAGAGAAATTTGGCTCAAGAGTGTGCAGGTTAAAAAAGTCCTTGTATGGGCTCAAACAGTCCCCAAGGGCTTGGTTTGAGAAGTTCACACAATCGGTCAGAAAACAAGGATATTCTCAAGGACAAGCTGATCATACCTTGTTTTTCAAGTTCTCTTCTAAAGGAAAAGTTGCTGTGCTGATAGTGTATGTTGATGATATTATTCTCACAGGTGATGATGTGATTGAAATGGAGAAACTGAAGAAGAACATTGCATTAGAGTTTGAAATCAAGGATTTGGGAGCGCTAAGATATTTCCTTGGTATGGAAGTGGCTCCTTTAAGAAAAGGAATTGTTGTCTCTCAACGAAAATACATTCTTAATCTGTTAAAGGAAACCGGGATGAGTGGTTGTAGACCGGCTGAGACTCCCATGGATCCCAATGTAAAACTCTGGGAAGAGGGACGTGTTCGTGTTGATACTGGTAGATACCAGAGATTAGTTGGGAAACTAATTTATCTATCCCATACTCGACCTGATATTGCCTTCTCAGTCAGTGTTGTTAGTAGTTCATGCATGCACCTTATGAAGAACATCTTGAGGCTGTCTACCGAATTTTGAGGTACTTGAAATCCACTCCGGGGAAAGGTCTACTTTTCGAGAAGACTAATCAAAGAAGTGTTGAGGTATTTACCGACGCAGATTGGGCAGGTTCAGTGACTGACAGGAGGTCTACCTCAAGGTATTGCACCTTTGTGTGGGGAAACTTAGTTACTTGGCGGAGTAAGAAGCAAAGTGTTGTTGCTAGAAGTAATGCAGAGGCTGAGTTTAGAGCAATGACTCAAGGAATCTGTGAGGTGTTATGGATATACAGAATCCTAGAAGAACTCAAGAAGAGTGTGGAACTTCCCCTGAAGTTGTACTGCGACAACAAGGCTGCAATAAGTATCGCTCACAATCCCGTTCAGCATGATCGAACGAAGCACATTGAGATTGATCGACACTTCATTAAAGAAAAACTTGAAGCAGGGAATATTTGCATGCCGTTTGTTCCTTCTAGTCAGCAAACAGCCGACATCTTGACCAAGGGGCTCGCAAGACACAACTTTGAACATCTAATAAGCAAGTTGGGCATGATTGACATCTATGCACCAACTTGAGGGGGAGTGTTGGAAAGTTAGGAAATAATATCCCATAGAATCAGGAAATTAGAATTTGAATATTTTCTGTTTTAGATATTTCCGGATTTGGTTCTGTTTCCTTTTTCTTGCTCCTTAATTCTAGGAACCGGAGATATTGTTCTCTTCTATTTAAACTAATGTAACCTATGTTATGAATAATAAGAAAGAGAGAGATTTCTGCTCTCTAGGTTTTCCTCCTTAATCTGCCCTCTTTTCCTACAATAACCAATCTTGAAGTGAGAATTTTGCATAAAAGTCCATATAGTCATTCACTAGTACAATTAACCACAAACATTCATACCAAAAATAAAATGAAAAAAAAAAGCCCACAGACATTAATTCAAAAACTGGTAACAAGATCATATCCATTTGCTAGTATGATAACTGGTTGAGTTGGACTTACAAATAAAATGAAAAAAAAAGCCCACAGACATTAATTCAAAAACTGGTAACAAGATCATATCCATTTGCTAGTATGATATCTGGTTGAGTTGGACTTAAATCTTTTTCATTATTTTGTTAGACTAGCAGAACTAGTATAAGTTGAATATGCTACATCCATATGTCAAACATGCTAGAAAGAGATGATGAATACTCAAGCAGAGCTACAGTAAATTATATTACGAAACCTCCAAGTCATTACAAATGGGAATATTCAAGTTGATCCTACCCATTACCTTAATGAATGGGGAAATTGCAGCATGAACTTTATAGAGGCTGAAAGAAGCTAAGAATAGTGTGTAATGGACTTAATGTCAAGTCTAATTGTCGGAAATGCAAGCTTATTAAACAGGCTTATAGGAATTTTTATTCTAAGACACGCTTATTGAACAAGCTTATAGGAATTTTTATTCTCTTTGGCAGCAAGCTTTATAGGAATTTTTATACTAAGACAAGTTGAGGCCAAACAGAAGCCACAAATAGACAGATACCAAGGTTTAGCATTGCTCTCTGAGACAAACTTGAACTTAATGCATATTTAGTGCGCGATTAAGCATGTATATCTCACACTCTATGCATGGTTAATGAGAATAACTACTCAAAAGAAACCATCTAAAGAAAAAAGAAATATATGTGGTCATTGTCACGTTCTTTACTAAAATTACGTGCTAATGAAAAAGAGTAGATGGTTTTTCTGGTTCATGTTGTCTTGGAGAAGCTCTCTATGAATAGTTCAGGCTGATGATAAAAAGATTAACAGAACAACATGTTGCACTAATAAACATCAATGCATAATTGCATGAGGAAGCCTCAAGAATTCATTCGTATTTACAAATTTCAAAAGAATTATGTATTTTACTGACAGATGTCAAAAGAGGACTTGACATCAGTCACACAACTTGTATTCCTCATTTCTGCAGATAAAGTTTTTAATATACCACAAATTTCAGCTATTCTAGGCTGTGCTGGATCCCCAGGGAGATAAGAGTGTACCTGATCTCCAACTTCAATCCAACTATAGCCCGGTTGCTTCTCTGTTCTTCTTTCTGCCATCACCATTCTTACTCTTTGAGCTTCACTCCATCTGCCTGCATCGGCATGAATATTTGACAAGAGCACATAATTTGAAGCTTTATGAGGTTCGAGTTCTAAAAGCTTCTCGGCAGCATACTTGCCAAGTTCAAAATTTCGGTGTATCCTGGCTGCTCCAAGCAACGCACCCCATATTCCAGCAGTTGCCTTGATTCTCATTTCGGACACCATTTTGAAGCCTTCTTCTAACCTCCCTGCCCGACCAAGTAGGTCAACCATGCAAGCATAGTGTTCAGCCAAAGGTTCAACGTTGTATCTTTCGGTCATGCTCTTAAACAATTCCAAGCCTCGAGAAACCAGCCCACCGTGACTACATGCCGACAACACACCAATAAATGTGACCTGATCTGGGTCTACCCCTTGTGTTAGCATTTCTTCAAAAAGCTCAACTGCCTCTTTCCCATTACCATTCAAAGCATGCCCAGCAATTAAAGAATTCCAAGAAACAACATCAACATTTGCAAGGTCTTTGAATACTAGTTCAGCATTGGAGACCCTTCCGCATTTCGCATACATTGTGATGAGGGCATTGCTGACAAATAAATCATTTATGTAACCACTTTTCACAGCCAAATGGTGAAGTTGCTCGCCCATCTGCAAAGCTGCAATATTTGCACATGCACTAAGTCCACATGCAAAAGTTGACTCATCAGGTCTTTTTCCTTCTTGGCCCATCATCATAAAACTCCTCAAGGCATCCAGATATAACTCATTTTGCGAGAAACCAGCGATCAAAGAATTCCAAGAGACTGCATTCCTCTTTCCCATTTCCTCAAATATCTTAAGTGCTTTATCCATCTGCCCTGCTTGAGCATAACCTGCAACCATTGTATTCCACGAAACCAAGTCCTTATTTGTCATTTGATTGAACAGATGCTGAGCTTCGGCCATTTTACCACACTGAGCATAGCCTGCAATCATGGTGTTCCAACAAACAACATCACGGGTACCAATTTGATTAAATATTTGATTAGCTTCATCCATTCTTTTATTTTGCACGTATCCGGAAATCATTGCTGTTTGGGCTGCAATATTTTTGTAAGGCATTTGATGAAGTAATTGCCTCGCTTCATCAAGTTTGCCAACACAAACATACCCATTTATCATCGTTGTCCATGACACCGAATCCCTCTCTGGCATTTCTGAGAATAGTCTAACAGCCTTATCAATTTGGCAATCTTGAACATATGCCGCAATCATTGCATTCCAAGAAACTACATTTCTATTCGGCATTTGTTCAAACAGATTCTGCGCTTCTGTAATCCTACCATTTCGGGCAAACCCGGATAACATTGTAACCCATGAAACCACATTCGGCTCTGGAATCTTCTTAAAAAACTTCCAAGCAGAATCCAAATCGCCAACATGAACAAACCCGTCAACCATCAAATTCCACGAAATCACATTCCTCTCCACCATCCCCTCAAAGAACTGCAACCCCAGATGCATTTGTCCATTCTGAGTATACCCAGCTAGCATCGAGTTCCAAGAAACCAAATCCTTGACCGGCATTTCATCAAATAATCTCTTTGCCTCATCAAACATCCCATTCTTAGCATAACCTGCGATCATGGCGTTCCAACAAACCACGTCTAGCTTATGAGGAAGGAGATTGAAAAGTTCTCTAGCCTTCTGAAGCTCACCATTACGTGTATAGCAAGTAATCATCAAAGTCCATGAGAAAAGGTCTCGTTTAGGCATTTTGCCAAATATGTCATAGGCTTCCTCCACCTTATCATTGTGTAGGTATCCAGAAATCATAGTATTCCAGGAAACCAAATTTCTTCGGGGCATTTTATCAAACAGCTGGCGTGCATCCACGATTCTACCATTCTTGGCATAGGCAGAGATCATGGAATTGAATGTAACGGTATTCTTTTGGGTCATTTGTGAGAAAACCTTAATGGCTTCATCAATTCGACCCGATTTTCCCAACTGGGTAATCTTCAGATTCTGGCTAAAGACATGGTTCCCCATGTCACCAACTGATCTCATCTTCATTGGAAATTGTTAAAATGAAGAGATTTGAGTTCTGAAGAAATACCTCCTTTTGCGATCTGCAAGATAATTGGATGAGATTGTAAGTGAATGCTTTAGGGGCAGCTACTGATTGTCCAGATTGGACACACCAATCTTCTGTCAATTTATGTAATGAGTTGCATGGCAGGCACCGGCGGTTTGGACTTTTTTTTTTTCTTTTTTTCTTTGGCCCCCAAATTTTAGGTAGTTTAGGCGGGTTTTTCTTTAACGGGCAAATTAGCCAGTAGGTAGGTTATTTTCAAAGAAACTTAATAGAGTAGTGTTTATTTAATAATTTTAAGTTAAGAAAAGGTTAAAAACATAAAAAGGAGCCTTTTATAGTAGGTATTCCTCACCACCACCAGTAGTACATGTTTTTAAAAGTTAAATATGAACAGAATTATATTAAAATATAAAATAAAAATATGTAAAACTGACAGTTTTATATGACGTGAATTTTTTTACCATAAGGTTATTTTTTTGGGTATGAATTTTCCATATAAAAATCAGATCAACATACAAAGTCCAATAACAAGTGAAAGAAACGTCCAGATTTCAAAGTTCAACGTCCAAGGTTATTATAAATAATGAATCCCATAAGAACAATGCAAAATCCTTCATGTTCAAAGAAAGTAATCAACCATGTGGCCTAATGCTTTGTCTTCCTTCCTCTTGGAATTCTTTTTTATTTATATTTTTTTTATTTTAAATGAGTCCTATAAATTGCCACAGAAATAGCTGACGCTCTTTCTTACTTAACACTCCGCACCTTCAGTTCCCATTTATCACCACGGACATCAAGTCTACAAATATACTATCAGGGTTTAGCTGCGAAGTTTTCTGGCAATGGAGCAGCATCGTTTCTTCAACATTGTCAATGCCCGCATTGTTTGACGTAGCCACAAAAGGATGAGAGATAATGGCGTCGCAAGATGTTTAACTGAAATGCGGAAAGACAAGACCTACAATGAAGGAGGACGCAGTAGAGATGGAGGGCGTTCAAATGAGCAGAGGTGTCCTCGTCGAACAAAGCTACCAGTATGGTGCGTCCAGCTACCAGTATGGTGCGTCCAGTGCGATCCGACTGCTGTAACCCATATTTGATGCTTCAACTTTGTTAAGATCTCAAGCCTTTAGGCAGTTTTTTGTTTCCATAGAAACAGCAGCCCTTATCCATTGTACGTTGCTTGTATTTTGTCGATTTAGAATAACACATTGTCAGGTTTTCATGCTTAACAAAATTCTAACATGGAAAAAAGCTCGGATAAAAAAAGGATACCATGTTTACTTTCCAAATAAATGAAACTAGTATCATTTGCAAAAATTGCTATCAGACTGTATCATGAACATAAAACAATGACCAAAATTTTGGGATGCCGCAAAATGGTAAATTAATAGTTGCCCCTCGGAGATACATGCTATATAGCATAGTATAAACTGCTATTCCTTAAATATCTAGACACAGTCCAACCATGATCTGGAGCATGATGACAAACAGCCTTTTGTGAAAATGTCCTCAACCACTCTTCATTCTTATACCAAGCGGAGACATCATCTCATCCACAATCTCTATTCGTACCAGTGACGACTCTTATTTCTGGTCATCACTACTACGTTCAAACTCTATCCGACGCTTATTAGCACGTTGTTCTTACTCTTCTCGTTCATTGCTAATGTTTTTTCGAACTGTGTTACTTCTATAAATTGGGTGAGAACGTAAGTAGCTTCCCCCATATTTCGCAGTTCCCCTATTAACCCTCTCCAAAATATAAAACAAGCATCCTGATCCTTTAATATAATAGTGCGATCGGCTATAATCTCACTGAACAACCGTTCGGCATAGCTTGTCACGGTGTCATATGATCACATCCTAAATCTATCAACCTTATGTATATTCCTTTCCGCCCTTCATAAATTCAGTCTCACATAGCCTGTGATATAGATGAAGGTGAGTGGGTGGCTCTAGCTTGTGATACAGGCCCAGTCACAGACTGGTGAGATTGAATTTATGAGGATGGAAAGGTATATACATATGGTTGATAGATTTAAGATGCGATCATATGACACCGTGACAAGCTATGCTGAACGGTTGTTCAGTGAGATTATAGCCGATCGCACTATTGTATTAAAGGATCAGAATACTTGTTTTATATTTTAGAGATGGTTAATTAGAGGAACTGCGAAATATGGTATTTCCTCGATGGGAAGCTACCTACACTCTCACCCAATTTATAGAAGAAGTAACACAATTAGAAGAAACATTAGCCAACGAACGAGAAGAGCAAGAACAATGTGCTAATGAGCGTCGGATAGAGTTTGAACGTAGTAGTGATGACCAGAAATAAGGGTCGTCACAATACCGATCCACATATTCTAGTTGGAGAGGCACATGACTCTAAAACGAAAATGTCAGTACAATTAGATTATAACTCGTCATGAGCCTTAGTTTCCATGTCAGCATTTTCATTGTCTGATCCATCAGGCTCTGTAGCTGATTCGTTACTTTGAGACGTACTCTCTTCAGAAGTTGAGTTGGAAGCTTTTGCTTTTTCCTCACTGCTCTTACTTTTATCCATTTCATTCTTAGCAGGTTTCTGAATTTTCGGCTTTGGCTTAGGAATTCTATTAACGCTAGCAACCTATGAAAAGACCAACCATATATTAACAAGAATATCCCAAACATAAAAGCTTATATGCCTACTGGAGTAAAAAAATTTCAATCGTACCTTGTCTTGCAAATTCAACACCTTCAAGTAAACTTCTTCGGATGTGAATGCTGGAGTGCTAGATGCAGCAGTCCTTCAAGAAGAAAGAAAATAATAAGCTTTCTGTTCCATGGTAATTTAAGAGATAAGAAAGGAAGCAAATTAACATATGATCCAATGTAGAACTATCTGCAATAACGTTTATATAAAATTTACTTGCGTATATTACGAATAATATTAATTACATTAACTTTAGGAAGTAAAAAAATAAAATAAAAAATGAACATTACTCACTTTTGCTGCTCGGCCTCCTTCTCGGCTAACCAAGTCTTCAACTTGTCAGCTTCACTCAACACCTGAAAAGTTGTCAATACTAATCACCAAAGAATAATAAACTCCAACATAATTTTTTTTTTTCTATTTTTTTTAAAAGAAATGAAAGATTTTTGTAAAAATAAAGAAACTAGAAGAGTACAAAAGGGGACACACAGTTTGTCCTAGAAAATACAAATCATAAAGTTTGTTTCGGATTTAGTATGATTAAGCACCTCATCAATTTTCCCTTTGGGCAGCCAAGATTTTTCAGTCTCCCACCTGCGTACAATCTGCAGACCAGGGATCAGATCAGTACAAGAAAGTAACAGTAGAAATCAATAAATAATTTAATAAACCAGCAAAGGTAAATCTATTTATTTAATGTATTAACGTTAACTGCATTCTTATATCATCAATAATTTTTTAGTCACTGTCTAGAAGTCAATGGGAAAAGTAATTACTAGCCACACAACAATATTGTGGGTGAAATCAACTTAACATGGTAATTACCAGCCACTTGCACTCTTTAGCATTTTTAATTTTTTTTTTTTAATGTTGTATATAAAGATGCCAACATTTTGAAGAACATTGGATTTCTTAATGAGCACTTATCCAAAAAGTTTTACCCAGAGGCCAGAATCACTATGATAAAAGTACATTTTAATATAAAAAAATCTCTACAAGCCATATAAAATAATTGGTATTTCTTCGTTACAATTCATTATTCTCATAGACCAAATTATAATATACATAATTGCATTACAAAATTAAGCAGAATTAAGAAAACTTGTGACCATGATAGTTCTTACATACCTGCTGCAGCTCAGAAAGGTAATTTCTTGCACGTTCAACTGCTGCTGGCCGGGCAGTAAGCTCTTTCAATCTGCAACCAAAATTCACCAGCTTAACTTTAGTAAAGTTGCCCCATCCTCGAGTGATTTGTAAATTATCACATGTAAAATTGGCATAAACTTAATTACTCCCGGCAAAATCAGAATAGCATACCTGAAGAACATTGGGTCACCAATAGCTTTTAACAAATCTAGGCGTTCCTGAAACTCTGTAGCGGAAGCATCTTCCCCATCCATATATAGCCATTCTTGCACCTGAGAAGATTTGTTATGCTTTAGTAAAAAAATTCTAGTGGCATCTCTACAAAGAATCAGCATTAATTATCTTAAAGAAAGGTTAACCTCATCAAGCCTTCCAGTAAAGGATGTCCGTTCATCAGCAGTTGAAATCTTCCCAACCTCCTCAGATGTCTCAAGCTGATACAGAAAAGGGAAAAATCTATCAGAGAAATGAGCATAATGTCTATATAAAGAGTAAAAGAAGAACAATAAACAAACACCATAGAGCCCTACCAAATAAGAGAGAAAAATACACATAAAAAGTAATTCGCCAAAAAAAAAACATGAAAGATGATCAAAAGATATAATAACATAAACGCAATAACATTGATCAACCCCTCCTTTCTATGTCTCCAAGAAGCTGCAAATGGAAAAGTTGGACAACTTGATAGGTGACATCAAAGCTTAAGAACTTCCAGAACTCCTACCTTTTCTTTAGTATCGTATATGTATCCTTCCAAATTATTTTTCAACTCTGCAGTTTTTCTTCGCTCTGCATCCTTTTTGTCTAATGCTTCTAACTTACGTTTAGCTTCAGCAAGAGATTCTTTTGGAAGAGACATTGCAGGACCCACTGTCTTTTCGACAATCTACATGTCATGAAAGTAAAGTCAACAAAAGAGGAAAATCATCACTGTAAAACATTAAGACTAGGTTAAAAATTTCAGGAATCCTAAAAGCTTCAATCTCCTATAAGATGTAAAAACGGCATTAGGGGCTATAAACTCATACCTTTAATGGAATCCTGAAGGTTCTCTTTTTTAGCTTTCTTTCAGTAACAAGCTCTGTGGCATTCGGGTCTTCTGCACTAGAATTAGTTGAGTTACTAGTTCCAGCATCTTCAACATTCAAATTGGCATTGCTTTCTTCTGAAGTGTTCTTAGCACCAACTTCAAGAGATATGTTGGGGGAAGCAGTAGTCGAGTTCTCAACTGTCCGATTCTCTTTAGGAACTTCTACCCATTCGGTTATTTCAATAACAGCGTCTGCCCGGTCCAAGGAGAGAATTCCACTTCTACTCAAAGAGAAGTGCAGATTTGCCTTGATGGGGGATGACAAATTCCGTGATGCATACCTAAATAAAATAGCGTATACGGAACACAAATCCATGTTAGAGTTTTTCCGATGCTTACATGATATGGTTACAATTGTTTACAGGATTGAAGTAGAATTCACAACCACAAAAGACATGAAGAATAAATAAACTTACTTCTCACTAGTATCGGCCAAACCAGACACACCATACTGAGCAAATATAGGAGAGGTTACACCAGGTGGTAGAAGTTCGCTCCCATAAGCCAGTGAAACTTCAAAATCCTTGTTATGAACAATGGATCTGAACATCTATCATAAAGACAAACAAAATACATGATTAGTTGACAATGAAGTAGTTAAACCACAATTGCTAGAGCATAGCTATGGGGTGCCATTTATTACCTTGCTGGGTAATTTTTTCATTCGCGGTACAAGTAATTGTCTAGTGCTTTCATCTTTCAAAAGCTCAGGGCCATCTAATTCAACTACAAACTCATAGGGAGAACCATCAATCATACCGAGCTTGCGGTTCAATTTGATTCCATCACTTAAATTTGCAGCGTGTAGTGCTGCACCAAGAACAATAGCTTCATCCGCATCAAGATGTTTATCCAACTCTTTCCTTCCAAGAAAATCCTGAAGCTCAGCCTATCACAATAGAAGCAAACAATTCTAATCTATCTTCTCAAATAGACAAATCTTACAGATAACAGGCATTCTTCTTAATAACTGTCAGTTACGAAAAATTACTAGTATAATTATAGCATAAAAAATAATCTATGCATTTTGTCATTGACACGTGACAGTAGTTTCAAGATGATATAGATAGATGTAAGACAAATAAGATGAACTACCTGCAACTTTGGCACTCTCGTAGCACCTCCTATCAACTCAACTGCATATATCTCATCAACTGTTAGCTTAGAATGCTTAAGAACTTCTTTCACAGGCACAAGAGATTGTTCCCAAAGATCACCACAGAGCTCTTCAAACTTCTCACGGGATATGGTACCCCTAGAAAAATGTAAATCTCAGATGAGAATAAAGATCATTTGGGACAAAGGTTATTATAAATCTACAATGCTGTTAGGGAATTAATTGTCTAATGATACGTGATAGTTCTGTTGGCTATTTGGAAATTAGCGACTGTAAACAATAATTTGAACTTTTTGATAGATGATGTTAAATTTCAAACCTGAAATCTCGATCATCAAAAAGTGATTCAACCGATATTAGCGCCACCGTGTTAGCACTTAGAATTTCCTTTGTTCGTTTGACCTGCTTCTTCAGTTTAGCCATTGCCTTGGGAGATTTTCTCACATCAACGCCATTCCCAACTTGCTTGTTGAACTCATCTGCAAAGTACTCAACCAATCTTAACTCCATATTTTGACCCCCAAGTTCTGGATTCCATCTGACATCCTTGACCTGCAATTATCATATGTAAGCTTACAAGCCTTTTTTTTTTCATGAAATGTAAACTTATGAGCTTAGCAACATGCTAAAAGTACCACGAAAAACACCCTCTTTAGAAAGTATATCATAATTCATAATATTCTTTTACTGCCAGAACTCGAAGGGCTAGGTGGTAAGAGCAAAGTGGAAAGCAACATGAAAGCTTAGAACTAAAGAATGGTTTCAATTAACATCATGAAACATAATCAATCTACCATTAACGATAAAAAATAATCCACTAATGTCAATCTTCTGATATAAATCCCTCATTCGTGAAACTCTCACTCAACAAACTATGTACCTCCAACCAAGAAGCAAAAATGACCACTTAATTTAGCATGACAATACGATCACAAAACTAAACAGCCAAGATAGAAACTCAGTTGACGTAAGCAATCACAGCAAACCATAAATTTCCAAGTCACAACTAACAAGAGAAATACAAGTTACGTAAAAGTTTACCTGAAACTGATTGACTGAGACAGTTTTTCCAAACACCTTGGTCTTATATGCCGAGAAATACACAAGGGCTGCATAAGTACTGCTCGAGCCCATATCATAGAAAATAACATGTCTCGACTCATTTGAGAAATCTTTGTCAATCCCATACTGCAAGGCCGCGCCAGAATGCTCATTAATCAATGAAAGCACATTAATCCCTGCCAACTGCGCAGCTTGAAGCAACCCCTTTCGCTCCACTTGGCCGAAGTACGGCGGCACCGTAATCACAGCATCCTGAACAGGAACTTTCGCGTGAAACTCCGCTAAATGAGCCGCATAACCCAAAACCATCGCCAACAACTCCTCCACGGAATAATCACCCACATTATGATCAATTGTGAAATTTGCGATTCCCCTCGGATCCTCCTTAATATCAAAGGGCAAGTACGATGAATCTATAAACTTCTTGGTGTAACTAAATGGTTTCCCAAGCAAGTCCCTGAGCTGGGAAAAGACTTTGTCCGGATACCGGGCAACAAGTCCAGCGGCCTCTTCCCCGAGAAGACGGTCACCGGACTGAAACGCGACAATGGCGGGCGACTTGCGCTTCGACATTTCATTGATCGTGATTGAAATCGGGCTCTGCCCGGGTTTCAGGTTCACTACCGCAACTTTAAGCCATTCTGAACCTAGATCTACGCTCAAAACCGCGGATTGCGACGGAGACAGAACAAGGCAAAAAATAGATACCAACAAACCCAGCTTGAACAACATCGAAGCCATCCTAAAATCGCTTTATCAAGCCCTAGAGCATCCAAAATTTGTCTGTATCGCACCAAAAAAAACAAACTATTTCATCTATATAAAGAAAAAGTAACCAAATTTGAAAGTTTCAGTAATTATTCAATAATTCATGAATCCAAAAAACAAGAAAACAGAGCTATAAAAGACATTAACTACGCTACCAAGCTTGCGAAAAATTCAAAACTCAGATTTTCATTTCCTTTACAACGTGATTAAGGAATTAGCTTGAGCAATACTATAATTTATTTCCTACCGAATCGAGAGAGAGAGAGAAAGAGAGAGAGTGACCAGTGATGTGCAGATCGCATTCTCCAGAAGAGAAGACTGAGCGTGTAGAGATTTTCTATTGGTGTTGGTTTGGGTTGACGTGAAACGTAATGAGAGGGAAAAGAAAAAAAAAAAGAAAAAAAGAGAAACTTTCTCGGAAACTCATACCTACTCGAGAAAATACTGGCCTTTCTTATGGGAGGGGGAGGCTGACGTGGAAAATATACAAATGCAGACATTGCCAATGGTAGAGAGACAACTGGCTTAACGTACACGTGGCGGCTATCGAGACGCTCTACTTTGTTGTGTTCACGTTGTCAGGTTCTCTTTGGAAATTATTTGGGCTTGGGCTGGCTTCTTGACTAGACTACGCGCCTCCGTTTATTTCACCCTCACTCTCACGTTCTCTCTCTCCCTCACTCTCTCTCTTTCAGTTCTCCCTCTTGTGCTGTCCAAGCTTCTAAAATAGAGAGCTTTTACTCTTTTTTTGATGGATAATTCAACTTTGAAGTTAATTTCAAGATTAGAGATAAATTTTTTGGTAAATATTTAGTTCATGAATTCAAAATAATATTTCAGAATTATTGTCCATTTACGTGTATTTTTTGTGAAAAAAAAATACTGTAACGAACCACGAACCATAATTCAAATCATGGTACAAATATACCAACCAAACGCACACTTAGAAATTTCAAGAAGCTTGAGTTAGTATTTTTTCCCTTCTTCTTTAATATGAAATCTTGTTTCCTTTGCAGTAATTTGTTTGGTTTAGTGATGCTTTTTATTGACAATGTTTTCTAAAACCTTAGACCTTACCTAATTTCTAAAATCCCAAATTGTCAAAGTTAGAGTTTATTAAAGTATGAGTTTCTTTGAAATTTCTCTGTTGAATGTTATTATTTTGGACTTAATCATACTTTCCTCACTTGATTCACATGTTTTGGGGAGGATTCTAGGAGCAGCCCAAGGAAAAGCATAGGACTTGATTATTCTCAATAAGTTTTAATGTTAGATATGTTAGAACCTTAAAATAGACTTTTCAAGCTTTGATAGGAGATTTGAATCACCCAAAAAGGAATTTTGTACCTTAAGTTATGAATTTTTCAAGTTGTTGGAAAAACTTTCAAAGAACCTAACCTGGACAGGTTTGATTCTGTTGAATTCTGGGAATATTTGAAGATGAATTTAAATGAATAGTTACATAATTGGACACTAGACATCCAAAGCTTCATTTAGCCGCAAAAATCACCTCAAACAGAAAACTATAGTTGAAGTTATGCATTTTTAAAGTTAAGCATGATTTTCAGAAATTATGCAGAAAAACAACCACGTTTCGATCTGGTATAATGTGTTTTTAGACACCCTAACACACGTGAAACTAAGCTTATGATAGCTCTTTGGAAAGCCCTAGATGTTTACTTCGATTAGGCATTGATTTTGTAATTTTAGGGGCTGTTGTAGAATATTTTATGATTATTCCCGTAACAGTCGCTAAAGTAGTCTTTTTTAAGAATTGATAAAATAAAAAAACTAAGACCCCTACCTTTTGAAATATGATTGCTGCACCTAAATCACCATTACTACCATTTAGAACATATTATTAGTCATGTGTGGGAGTACGAATCACGTCATTTAGAGTTTTGTAACGCGAATTGTGCGCATTTGAAGTTTCACGTAGAAACTTCTCAAAAGCTGTCAAAACCAGAAAAGAACAGAATTTTAATTTCTTGAAAACTCTTTTTGAGGCATTTAGAGAGCTCGAATTTGGGCATATCATACCCTTGACTTTTACATATTTAGAATTTTATCCTAAATATTCTAAACTTTATAAAAAAATAAAAAAAGCCCATGTTAAATTTTCATACTAATTTTATCTATTATGTGGCGAGAGTGTTTGTAAAAGACAATTTTGAGTTTAAAATCTTATTTATTAGAATTTCTTATAGCAAATACATTTGAGAGGACATTTGATTAATGTTGCATAATGGTTCAAATATGATTTCACATTCGGGAGAACATTTTAATAATGTTGCATAATGCTTCAAATCTGATTTTAAGACCCAAACATCTCACTTCTAATTATTTTTATCATCTCTCCCTCCCTCACTCTCACGTAACTCTCTCACCCCCTCTCATTCTCTCACGGTTCTCTCTCTCCCTCACTCTCTCTCTCTCTCTTTCGGTTCTCCCACTCTTCCTCCATGAGAGGTGATGTCCAAGCTTCCAAAATAGAGGGCTTTCACTCTATTTTTAATGGGTAATTCAACCTTGAAGTCAATTTCAAGATTAGAGACGAATGTCTTAGAGATTTCAAGAAGCTTGAGGTATGGTTTTTCCGCTTCTTCTTTAGTTCGAAAATATTATTTTCTTTGTAGTAATTTGTTTGGTTTAGTGACGCTCTTTATTGACAATGTTTTCTAAAGCCTTGACCTTACCTAATTTCTAAAATCCCAAATTGTCAAAGTTGGGGTATATTACAGTATGAGTTTCTTTGAAATTTCTCTCTTGAGTGTTATTATTTTGAACTTAATCATACTTTTCCCACTTGATTCACCTGATTTTGGGAAGGATTCTAGAAGGAGCCCAAGGAAAAGCTTAGGACTTGATTATTCTCAATAGGTTTTAATGTTAGCATTTTAGAACTTTAAAATAGACTTTTCAAGCTTTGATAGGAGATTTGAATCCTCCAAAAAGGAATTTTGTAGCTTAACTTATGAATTTTTCAAGTTGTTGTAAAAACTGTCAAAAAAACTAACCTGGACAGGTTTGATTCTGTTAAATTCTGAGAATCTTTGGATATGAATTTGAATGAATAGGTTACATAATTGGAAACTAGACACCCTATGCTTCGTATAGCCACTAGAATCACCTCAAACGGACAACTATAGTTCAAGTTATGCATTTTTAAAGTTAAACATGATTTCTAGAAGTTCTGTAGAAAAACAACCACGTTTTGATCTGGTATAATGTGTTTATGGAGATGTTAACAAACCTAAAACTAAGCTTCTAATAGCGCTTTAGAAAGCCCTAGAAGTTTACTTCGATTAGGCACTGATTTTGTAATTTTTGGGACTATGTAAAATATTTTATAATTATTTCCGTAACAGTCGCTAAAGCTGTCTTTTCTAGGAATTAATAAAAGAAAGAAATTGAGACCCCTACTTTTTGAAATACGATTGCTGCACCTAAACCACTGTTACTACCATTTAGAACATATTGTTAGTGACATGTGGGAGTTAGAATCACGTAATTTGGAGTTTTGTAACTTGAGTTGTGCGCATTAGAAGTTTCATGTAGAAACTTCTCAAAAGCTGTCAAAACCAGGAAAGAACATAATTTTAATTTCTTGAAAACTATTTTTGAGACGTTTAGAGAGCTCAGATTTGGGCATATGATACCCTTCGACTTTTACATATTTATAATTTTATCCTAAATAATCTAAACTTTATAAAAAATAAAAAATAAAGAACCCTTGTAAAATTTTCAAACTTATTTTATCTATTATGTGGCAGGAGTGTTTGTACAAGACAATTATGAGTTCAAAATCTTATTTATTAGAATTTTTTATAACAAATACATCTGAGAGGACATTTTATTAATGTAGCGTAATGGTTCAAATCTGATTTTACATTTTAGAGGACATTTTAATAATGTTGCGTAATGCTTCAAATCTGATTTTAAGATCCAACCATCTTACTTCTAATTATTTTTATCATCTCTCCTTCCCTCTCTCTAACGTTAACTCTCTCTCTCCCCCTCACTCTTCCATGTTCTCTCTCTTTCGGTTCTCCCTCTCTTCCTCCATGAGAGGTGCTGTCCAAGCTTCCAAATTAGAGGGCTTTCACTCTATTTTTGATGGGTAATTCAACATTAAAGTCAATTTCAAGCTTCCAAAATAGAGGGCTTTCACTCTATTTTTGATGGGTAATTCAACCTTGAAGTCAATTTCAAGATTAGAGATGAATGTCTTAGAGATTTCAAGAAGCTTGAGGCAGGGTTTTTCCCCTTCTTCTTTAATTTGAAAATATTGTTTTCTTTGTAGTAATTTGTTAAGTTTAGTGATGCACTTTATTGACAATGTTCTCTAAAGCCTTAGACCTTACCTAATTTCTAAAATCCCAAATTGTCAAAGTTGGAGTTTATTAAAGTATGAGTTTCTTTGAAATTTCTCTCCTGAATGTTATTATTTTGGACTTAATCATACTTTCCCCACTTGATTCACATGATTTTGGGGAGGATTCTAGGAGCAGCCTAAGGAAAAGCATAGGACTTGATTATTCTCAATAAGTTTTAATGTTAGCTATGTTAGAACCTTAAAATAGACTTTTCAAGCTTTGATAGGAGATTTGAATCACCCAAAAAGGAATTTTGTACCTTAAGTTATGAATTTTTCAAGTTGTTTGAAAAATAGTCAAAGAAGGTAACCTGGACAGGTTTCATTCTGTTGAATTCTGGGAATCTTTGGATATGAAATTGAATGAATAGTTTACATAATTAGAAACTAGACATCCTATGCTTTGTATAGCCACAAGAATCACCTCAAACGGACAACTATAGTTCAAGTTATGCATTTTTAAAGTTAAGCATGATTTCTAGAAATTCTGCAGAAAAACAGCCACGTTTGATCTGGTATTATGTGTTTCTAGAGACCTTAACAGACCTAAAACTATGGTTATGATCGCACTTTGGGAAGCCCTAGATGTCTACTTCGATTAGGCACTGATTTTGTAATTTTTAGGACTGTGTAGAATACTTTATGAATATTCCCGTAACAGTCACTAAAGCTGTTTTTTTAGGAATTGATAAAATAATTAAACTGAGACCCCTACTTTTTGAAATAGGATTGCAGCACCTAAACCACTGGTGCTACCATTTAGAACATATTATTCGTGAGGTGTGGGAGTTGGAATCACGTCATTTGGAGTTTTGTATCTCGAGATGTTCGCATTGGAAGCTTCATGTACAAACTTTTCAAACGCTGTCAAAACTAGGAAACAACAGAATATTGATTTCTTGAAAACTGTTTTTGAGGCATTTAGAGAGCTCGAATTTAGGCATGTGATACCCCTCGACTTTTACATATTTGTAATTTTATCCTAAATTTTCTAAACTT